GTTTTTGATCTGAAAAAAAACAATAAATGGAAAACTCCAGATGTAAGACAGGAGACACATGCATTTGACTAAAGTTTGTAACAGGCATTTGGCAAAACACAAATATTAATGTCATCAGCATAATTATTACAAAAACATCTATAAATTTAAACAAGACTGTAACATTACCAATGATTGCCTGCAATCAAACAGAAGCATTTAAGATCCAAATAAATAAGATGATAATCTTTACTGAATGCTCTATAGCTGTTACTGTATTCTCAAGCATTATGGGCACAGCAGTTCATCTAAGGCATCCTGGTCTTTCCTGCAAATTTATCAATTTCTACTTTATCATCAAAATTCGGCATTCATTTCTTGCCTTTGCTATCAGAGTTTCATGACCAAGCCGCGTCTGTTCTTGATTTTCTTCACTCTAGCATTACAAGATGGCCTGTGTACATCTGAACTTATTCTTTGTAGGAGGCTAACAGAATCTTTTTCAGGCTAATTACCAGAAAACAAAGTTCAACAGAAATAGTAGCAGGCTGCACAAGGTTGATTTTACCAGCAGACAACTGTATCTCAGCATTTGGTAATTTAATGACATGCATGCCTCAATGTTTCTGGTGGCTTTGTGTGACTGCGCCAAACAGACCTCTGGTAATTACCTCTGGGATGTTTCTGTTAAACTTCCTTACATCAGTGTATCCCAAATTGAGTTCCATGGAACCCTGGGGTTCTGTGTAGAGGGACAAAAGATTCTGTGACAAAAGGTCAGTGATAGTAGTTTCGAATGATTTTGGCTATAAAATACTGAGTTAACATTTTATAACAAAAACCTCACTAAAATAGTCTACAGCCAGCTTGTATAACTGGAATTTACAATAAATATATTTTGAGAAAAGACACATGCATAAGGAATTTTATTTGAGTAAAGCATTTTATCCTTCAGATATCTCATTTATTTCAAAAATTGATCAGCAGTTTTCAGTTGTCTACACTTCCAGCACTACACCTAACAGAAAGCACCCTTTTCACTTAAAACATAAAAGAAAAATGTATTTCAAACAACAGAAATGCATTTAAATAATTAAGTTTTATTGCTTTTTACTTCCTCTCAGTTTTCTAGTCTTGAAAGGCATTAATAAGAAGTACATAAAAAATCAAACAATATTTTCATAATTTAATTAATTTACATACATACAAATTGTAAAAATTCTAATCTCCTGTTTCTGACTTTACATCATAAAAATATTTTAAAGGCTTCCATTAATACTGCAGAAATTCAAAAGGATTCTGCATAAAATTAGTTTGGTGAACTCTGCCTTATAAAATCCTTAATTCCTTATATTTCAGCTATAGAGTTTGCATATATATCTCTTACATACATCCACTGAAAGAAGTGAAATTCAGAAAAAGATATAAATGTGACTGTCTTTAATAATATCCTATAACTAATACAACAAAATACTTACGTGGGGAATGGACACCTGGGTCAGGTGGTGAATATGGTGGCTCAGAACCTGAATCTGGAGGACTCTCTGGAAGATTGTGTCTGCAAAAATATTCAGAGTAATTAACATTCTCATGTTTAGTAGTATACACAACAAGATGAGGAATTTAAAGGTACAATGAAGCTCTGGAACTCACATATATTATACGTACTATTAATGATGGACAAAGGGCATCATAATGCATATAAGAATATTTGACAATCAACTGTTTAATATAATAGTCTTTGTTTTGTTTCTAAGAATTTATAAAGGGTTCGGTAATTCACAATACCATGGTCATTTTCTGACTCCATCTATGTCTTTGATTCTTCCACAATGCATCCAAACACACCTAGATGGACTATAAAAGAAACAAAAATATATTAAAATAACTAAAAACAAAACCTATATGGGACAAAACTATTCAATAGAAAACCGATTGGTTTCAACATCTTGGCAAAATGCAGACACATACTTCCCAAATGTGTTAAAACATTTCAAATCACATAGATTAAGAAGATGGCTGTCTTCTGGGTTGCAGCACCAGTAGTATGGTAGAAACTTACCAGAGCATTTCAGAGGTACTTGTTGCTTCCATCATCACAGAAAAGAAACAGTAAACTTCTACCAGAGTACACAGCGCTACAACCCAAACGACAGTAATCTTGATATTCGCCACTATGAGATCCTGAAGTCTCACAAGGAACTGCATGCCTTATACAGATTACTCAGCAATATTAGGGTATATGAATTCTTCTGCTTCTTCTTTTACAACCCAGTGCAGGTCTTGGCCACCTCCTTTCAGAGGTTTCTTAGTATTTTTAAGTGTGCATTTGTGAGTAGTGAGTGACCAGCTCACTGCCTCTGTACAATTTCTACTCAGTTCTGATTTTGTCTGCTAGAGCCATCTAGTAGAGAATCAGGAGAGACATGGGTGAGAAATGCCCACTGAATTTTGCTTACAAAACATCTTTCATGCTCATAAGGTTCTTTCACATGCCATAAATCTCTGACATGGGACCGCTGGCTTCACTTCCCTACCGAAGGAAGATGTGCTATGGATTTTTATCACCCTTAAAAATTCATCGACCTCGGCCAGGTTTGAACCCGCAAACCTTGGGTCTTGTGGTGAGCACGCTAACCACTAGTCCACTGATAGGAATTAAGTTATGAGATATATGCAGGCATATTGTATCTATATACATACATATGCACACTAACATACTAAAATACAATACACAAAGAGTATTTAATTTAACAGACATGAAAGCATCAGACACAGCAAATTTAAATGGTGTGACTAAGGGCTAATGATTACATAGTCTATAGGTATAAATTGTTGATTCTGAATCGAGAAGGCCAAGAATAGAACTCCGCACCTCCTAAATATGTAGTATGAGAGTTAACCATTACAACACAACCATTTGACTCAGAAACAGTCACCGATACTCACGGGTGTGTGTAGTTTGTGGAGCCATCTGCAGTACCAGGTTTGAAGGGTAGTGACGTACCAATCACACCTCCTGGTATCCGCACTGTCTTGTTAGAGTTGATAACACTTGTGATATGATGAGTGGGGCTCCCTCCCGGCTCCACGACAACATTCACTATGGTTGCAGCAGGTGGAGGTGGAGGTGGTGGTGGTGGTGGTGGTGGTACATTTGGTGTGTTGGTGGCAGAGTGACTGGACTGTGGTGGACGGGGTACTTCATTGTGTGCCAATGTGTCAGCAAAGTACCTGCAACAACAACAAAAGTTGACAGTCTTAGGATTATGAAGTCAAAATGTATAACTGTGATTTTTTTGTGACAAATAATTAAAGACTTTTGTGGTTTACAAGTTGTTTTGTATGGCTGTGAAACATGGTGTCCTACTATGAACCTTTGAGGGATGAATGTAAATAATTATTCCAAACATATTAAAATAACATTCTTTGGAAATTATTTGTACGGGGTTAGTGGGAAATGGATAACAAGGAACTTAATGAAGCAGCTGTCTTCTGTGTTGTTGCACCATGTAGTATGCTTCAAGTGAACTGATACTTTACAGGTCCTTGCTGCCTCCATAATCAGGACAATCATCGCCTCTGAAACGTTGGTACAGACTAAATGGTGCAAGAAACCACAAGACAGACATCTTCATTATTGCCACTGTGAGAACGTGAAATCTCACTAAGAACCTCATGTGTTACACAGCACACCTAGCGCTCTTAGCGTAAAATGTATGAAGTTATGATGGATATGCCTATGTGTTTGTGTGTGTGAGTGCAAACACACACACACAAATGGCAATGGTAAAATTTATACATAAGAAATTACGGCAGCCAGGTCATTTTTGACCGGGGAATGAGAACTTTTCTTTGGTTTTGGTGTATGTGTTGCAAGTTAAACCGCTAGTCAACGCAAGGAGACGAAACGTTCGCGTAACAAAGTCAAGGAAAATATGTGCAACAGTGGGCAGTCGTTATACAGAAAACTTTCCCACACAAAATCGATAACTAATTTAAAGGGAAATGCTTTATGGGGAGGAGGGAAATAAGTAGAGTGAAAGAAAACGTAAGGTCGGATAGAAAGTAGATTGAACTCGGAAATTAACTAAGCAACGCTTGCTAGCGTGTCCAGTGTAGATTCCGTCCATTCTGTAATTTCAAAACCTCGGAACCCGTCCTCTCGCCCCTTTGTATGTCGTCCGCCATCTTATTGTGCCGTCTCTCACGCCAGCTTTAATTTCTAACCTTAATTTTCAAAAGTGACCAGTTCCTACCGTGCCACATCATCCAGTATCAGACCCTACGGTAATCGGCCGACAAGTTTTCTAGAAATTTCCTTCATTATGTCCGATTTCCACGGCGAACATTTCGAGGAAAACTAAATTAATCTTTAATAAGATGCGGGAAGGGGGGGGGGGTCATTCGCGTAGAAAGTGTTGGCCTACCTTCGGGGGTACCTGTCTATCTTTACTAATTAAGTAAATAGCTAACAACTACAAACTTCCAAACGATAGATCAATAAAAACTTTAATTAAAGATCAACCAGAAAGTAAATTAGACAGAGAGATAAAACATATTTAGTTGGAGAGCAATTTTCTTCAAGTTTACAAATTTGCATTCATCACTGAACTTGAAGAGCAGTTATAGCAGATGTAAAACTAACTGCTGTGAAACCAAGATTTCACATTGCAGTTAGTCTGAATATGTTTTTCTTGTGTTTGGTTCAATATCCACATCAAATATAGGGCTATTTACAAAATGACTATGTGTGTGTTTTATACGTGGTGGATGGGTGGGTGGTAAGTGTGTTCGTTTATTCACAGCTGATGTGACGCAGAGCGTGATCTTTCACCAAGTGTATGAATCAACTTAAGAACGGACACCCTATTTTAATCAAATTTAATACTGGAGAATTTTACGAAAACTATGGAGCCTTTACAATTTTTCGTTCAAACTGGCCACTTTACACGAGAGCAAAATAACTTTTAAGCTCATCTCAAACAGGTGCGAAAAGATTTGCATAACTGATTCTTAGCTCACATAGCTAAACACGAAAAATACGTCGTATAAATAAATAATAGTTCATTTTAAGAAACCCTTAAATTCAGCATTAATCAAATAAAATCTTGAAAAATATGACGTTTTGCGCAGTTCTGGATACACCTGTTTACTTCCAACATGTGTCTGGCCGTAGACACAGTTACTTGAAGTATCCACAGCTGTTACGTTGCTTGACAACAGTTTAATGCATCAACCGATCCCTATAGGGCGCCAAGCAGCAAATACTACGAAACTGTGCTATGTCACATTCTTTCATTTTAGAACCAATTTTACGCCGACCGGTCACCGGAATGGGCTATGTGGAGCGATTACCGAAGGCAATTTTTTTATCGTAATTAACTTTTCCAATGGGAAGGGCTTATGGACTCACGCCCTTGCCAATAAATCTAGGCCTATAAATACGTACGTATTGCTTGCGTCATTGTCGTCATTGATGAAGTCCTCCAACTGACTGAAGTCCAAAGCCTCGTTGTCAATGCCTCCCACGAAGTCTCCCCGGCCTGCAACAAAACGGAAGACTTACACTACAGGTAAGTTTCAAAGTTTCAGTCTATCGATGCGTCTAACGCGGAACCTACTCAGACTATTTCTATCTGAATGACCCAACTGAGTAGGTACCTCTCGCCTGAAGACGGAAACAGAGCCAGTTTCCGAAACGTCGTGGTTTCTTCTTTTAAACAAGGACGACGGAAAAAGTCCAGATAGTGAATAATTTTTAATGGAAAACACGTTTCAGCCCTACTTTTCGACAATAGAATACTCGTCTAAGGTTTGAAGTAACATGACTACAACGTTTCGAAGCTGGATTCTGCTTCCGTCTTCAGTTAAAAAAGTAGGAGTAGGGCAGAAAGACTATTTGTTGGGCCCCTGGTTGAGCAAATCTCAGTAGAATCCATTCGGAAGTAAAATTCAGCTACCGAAACGTTTTTGTTTCATTATTTTCTAATTCATACTATGGACGAACTTCACACATTATAACGCACAATCATCGGAAACCTTCAGACTTCGACTGTGGTGGGTAATCTAACTTAGTCACAATTACTGGTATATATACACCGGTCACACACCACGTTACGTAAATGTTAACATACGAAACAAAGCACGTGTTTTATTATAATCATTATCAAAAACTGTCAGGCGCTATATTACGATGTGTGCAATGCTCAATCTGTTTGTGAGGAGAAATAGTACCATAACCGGGTGCTTAAATATACATTTCCTAGCGTCTGTGGAAACTGTAGTCACGGAATTTGTCTGTTAACGCTGACACTTCTTTAAATTGGAACAGGATTTATATACTGGGATACTGGGAACGACCCGTTCTTCAAGTGCCTCAGCACCGCGGGTCCCAACTTTTCGTTGGCTTGATCTATAGACATTCGGTAAGACTCCTTGGACGAGGGATCGGCCCGTCGCAAGGCCTCTACCTGTACACAGGACAGCACAACACAGAAAAACGCGGACAAACATCCATGGCTTCAGTGTGATTCGAACCCACGGTCCCAGCTACCAAGCGGCAGAAGGCCCACGCCTCAGACCGCGCGGCCACTGCGGACCCCTATATTTATATTCGTATAATAATCGACGTTTCAGACAGCAATGTCAAAGAAGCCGTTAGGAGTCAAGAGGCAAAACTGTTAACAGTTAATCTGCCTGTCCGCGAGCAGTAATGACGCGTAGCATAAGAGACAGATTTATGGCGGACCTTTGTTTTTCCAGATGACAGAACTCGGGTTAGGGGCAGGTGCGTGTGGCATATAGAGAAAAATAAGGATAAACCTCGGTCACGATGCTTATCTAGGTATAGTGTTTAGTCGGGCCACTGCACGAATAAACGTCACATTTGCATAAACTATGGTGGTGTTCAGGTTTGGCGTGCGCTGCACCGTGGGAAGACAAGGGGGAAAGACGTTAGAACAACACTGGGCCATGTAACCTGTAGGGGTTTTGTTCGTAGTAGTATCTTGACGAAAAAAAGTCTACAAAACACATATTCAAACATGATTACAGCAAAATTGAGGTAAAAGAAGGTGATCTTTAAGCTTTTCACGGCGACGATCATGACCATGGCTGTCTTCTGGATGCCGGTGCCGTATATTCTGGCACAAATTGGCCGACGTTTCATAGATGCTTGCTGTCTTTGGTGAAATAAATTACAATTTATTTGCCTTATTGCACGTGGTATAAACAATGAGAGATTCATAAAACAAATGAAGAAATGGATAGTAAAGATCACAACAATACCATGGCTAGTTGCTGAGAACACAACTTCTCGAACTCTGCTGTCGAGCGGAGACATCTAAACGACGGACTGCAGACGAAGCTTCTGAAACGCTTCACAACTGCGAAGTTGAACTGTGTAGGCACTATCTAGCAATATTTCGCAAATCGCGATTTGTATGCGCAGTTTTCCATTTGTATCCAGTTTTGCCAACCTCATTATTTGATTTTATGTATCTGCGGATTTCAATTTGTGTACTCAAGGAAAGATCTGCGGCTTGCAAACTAGGCGATCCAAATTCACGGGGGGTAAATCAGTAAGAATATCGAGGCCACGTTTCTAGCATTCAAAGTGGCACTGCGTGGTTTTTTAACTCCCGTTACACTGCTGCTTTTGTTTTCTATTTTAAAAATGTTACAAATTCTTGTTTACGTTTTGTCAAGTCTTTACAGTGGCTGCGAGTTCCCCAACTACCAGTTTCCCACATCACCCTGATGATGGAGACAGTAAAGGCCTCTTTAACGTCGGGCAGTATCTACCAGAAAACACGGTACAACCCAGAAGACAACGATCTTCAGGCCATATTAGCTTTCTGATTCGTGGTTTTCCTCACTTGCCCCAGTTAAATATCAACTAGTACCTTAAGATACACCTAGATTCGATTCATCATGTATAATCACCTCATTACACGGTTGATAATTTCATCACCTAAAATGGTATCGTATAATAACCAATACACCAACAACAAACAGTACATTTTTAAACTTTAATAGTAGTACATCTGAAATTTCGCTTCAGGGTTGCCGAGATTTCACTACTTTTAGACAAAAAACGCCAAACATTCAGGAAAAGACGTTCTTCTATGTTTCATCAAGAGAGGAAAACCATGGAAAATTTTCTCCTTTTCATCGACGTAATGAAGTAACAGATACGAGAAAATTGTGATGCAATCAAGAGACCCGGTTTAACAGTGACTTGTAGAGCTCCCATTACATTGGTTAAGGAACTGCGAGCTGCAGACGTACGTTATTGTGATTCGCTTTACAATTGGTTTCTATTTCAAATAACACACTGACTATCGAAAACAGTTTCCTTAAGCACAGGCCTGCACCACAATATGACCCCTGACTTCAGTTGATGGCTGAGTGCCTCGTAGTTACTACTCAATTACAACCTGCAAGTAAATATTTTTCGCGTACACACTATATACAGTGTTCAAAATGTAAAGAGTATTTATTTGTTATTACAATGTTCTGATTGTTTAACGGTGAACAAACACGCTGTTTATTATTATCAAATTGAAAACGTGTTGTCAATTTTAATAATTATTTTCCTAAAGTTGAGGAAGCCAACAAACAGGATGTTAAATATTTTAAAGCACAAAATGGAAGTAGTGTGGCCGCTGAAATACAGTCATGTCCTTGAAAGCATGCGCCACATACACAATCTTGCAATGAACTCCACTACTCGGGACTTCAGAGCGAGTCGCTTAAAGTTGTCACGGTTCTGGCGTAGGTCACACTCATCCATCGTTTCAGAACCGGAAAATTAATTACTGATTTATTTGTTCACAATTAACTTAGTTGTACTGTTCAATGCGACTGCCAACACGTTAAGTTAAAATCTGCCTAATCTAAACGTCGTTAGCGGCATTTCATACCAGACTTAATGGTATACTGCCATGACCCGGTCGCCAGAATCTGAGACATGAAAATGAACTTGGAATTAAGGTCTAAGACACTTTAAAGTTCAAGATTTAAACATTCGGTTCCCACCTCCAGGAAAACACACCAAAACTCAACTGACAAGATTGGTTGATTAGACAAGTTTAGGAAAATAATCACTGTTTGTACACAAAACGTAAAGAAAGAAATATACCGACCGTGGCGTATGAAACGCCGACTTCCAGAAAAGCATGGAAGGTGGAGCACATAAATACCATAGCGCTATCAAGGGTTAAAACGACCTCTCTCGCTTGCGCCCAAAATTAATTGCGTATTGACTTACTCTTAGTTACTTAACGGCGTTCTTTTCACTGTATATGATATAAGGCATTGATTGAGACGAAAAGAAGATCATGGACAGCGAACAGGCAGGGATTTAAAGGAGGCGGTCATTGCAAACTACAGGATACTATCTCGGAATTCTCCGAGAGAGAGACTGAGATAAACCACAAGCCTCTCCCTCCCTTCATCGTCAACCACTGGACCGCCGAAGTGTTCGGAATGAGGTAGTCTGGACGCTTAAATAATAAATGGTACAGCTCTATTCTCTTGAAAAGATTAAAAGTCCATCACGTGGTCAAGAAATTCCCCGCTAAATGAAACCCAAAGGTTCACTATCATTTTCGCAAAACATAGTCACTGGTAGTGAAATTTCTTTAACAACGGAAGTTATGATTGTAGGTGTCGCCTTAGACCGTTCCATTTCGTGCATACGTCATGCCCTGTTCCTACAGGTTCCATTTTAATGTTATTTTCTTCTCTGCCCCTCGACCTCTCATGTAATCTCTTCACTTGAATTTTCGACAAAATGTTTGTAAGCTTTCTTCATACTCTCAACTTGTCTTACATGCCTCGCCCAACTTCCCTCACTTAATCACTTTTATCGACGTTTCATATATACTTCCCGCCATGGAGGCAGCAAGCGCCTCTGAAACGTCTGCAAACTTCTACTAGACTACACAGCAGAACAACGCAGAAAAGAGACGTCTTCATACTAGCCGCCGTGAGAACTTGAAATCTCAAAAAATTGTACATCAGAGTTACTTCTGAAACAGTCATGTCTCATTCTGTACACTGCAATTTCGTGTCACTATGACATTGACTGTGAAATTAGCACTATTACTGGCATCAGTCGTTATTTACCACAGTAACGCATAAAAAAGTGTTCTAATAGATATGCTCAAGACGAACTCCAGCGTGTTTAGCTGTTTGTACTTGAGAAAATGTAAACAAATGACGTATCACACGACTTCAAGGCTTCAAGAGATGTCCAGGTGTCGCTGTGCTGATCAACTAGGCCTTTCGAAAACCTCGTCCAGATTTCTATCCCTTAAAAGGGCAGTGGCTACTACGTATATTACCTGCCTTAATGTTTAGCAACTCGGAATTTGTCAGCATAAACGTAGCTATTATGAAGAAATCAGTGATCTTCATAACACAGATGCGGTGTGTTTTCTCAGAGGTAGGAACAGAATTTATAATTTTATTCAGAGGTGCATAATCGCAAGTAGAGAATTTCGAACACGTGTGTAGGCGCAGGGCGTGCACCCTTTTA